ATTTTATCAGTATTGTAAACAATAGTTAAGTATTATAAGTATTTATAGATATTGTAAGTATAAGTTATTATTATGTATATTATGATATTATTGTTTAAATGTTAAGCGTACAAATTTAAATCATAGTTAAAAAATATCAACGATTAAAAAATGCAGTTGATGCATAACAATAATGCCATTTTTGTATGCAAACACTTAATATCTATATTTGACGGTGGGTAAACTTTGTTAACATCAGTCATTTTGCTTCCATAAAATATAGAAAAATTAATGGAAAAGAGTGGATCAGTAAAAACAATTTAAAAGCTTTAAACTCCTAAAATATAACCTATCCATCACAACATTCGCCTGTTTGCTCTTTTTAAAGGTTTCTGACTAAATCATTATTTTGAGCAACCTCAAAGCAGTTCCTAGCTAGCTACTTACGTTGGGCCAACGTATGTAAAACCATCGCAAACGTCGGCTCTTTTTTCCAATGCAAAACCAAAGTTGATTCAAAGTCATTTGATTAATGATAAAACTATTACCGACGGAACTAAAAACATCTAGCAAATTTACATTGCTCCAATGTATGTAAAAACATCGCAAAAAGTAAATTGTTTTTACAATCTAAACTCAATGTTGATCCAATGTATATATCTCGACATTGATTCAATGTATATAAATCAACCCAATGTATGTAAATACATCGCAGAAAGTTGATTGTCTATACGAACTAAATCCAGCGTTGATCCAATATGTGCGACCAAACATTGCTATTGCGAAATTGTATAATTTAAGTAAAATCTTCCGTGATTATTAAAATATCAAACCACAATCAACAAAAACATGATTTTTGTTGGGATGATCAAGCGTTATATCCTATATTATATATGTATTTTAAATTACGTCGTCTGTATATACACTATATACATTATATATATATATATATATATATATATATATATATATATATATATATATATATATATATATATAATATATATATAATATATATATAATATATATATGTAAAGTAAATAGAATTTAATGGAAATTTAATCCGAATAATATTGAATACAACGTTTTACCAATTAAAGTTCAACGTTGAATCAACGTAAAAAACGTGTGCCAACGTATAAAAAACGTTGAATTAACGTAGAAAATAAAACCATTTTATTTCACGCACAATAGGAACTGCAAATGGCAGCCATCAAGTAAGTGATGATTTTTTTAGTTATCAGTTTAAACCTTTTAAGAACCTTATGGGAAATCCATCAAATCCCCAGATTCTTCGGCCCTGAAAAAAACCAGATAAAACTCAATCAAGCAAATTTGCTTGGTTGTTTTAACCATACGGGGCATGTCCGAAAACCAAAACACTTACCCGTCAAACCCGTAAAAATCCCGTTCCTGTAAGCACAGACAAAAACTATACGGTACCCGTCTGTCAATGTTGGCTGGGTATATATATATATATATATATATATATATATATATATATATATATATATATATATATATATACATATATATATATGTATATATATATATATTTATATATATATATATATATATAATATATATATATATATATATATATATATATATATATATATCGCTTTTCTTAGTTGGAGCTGGAGAGAAAAAATTGCGCTCGGCCAATATTTTCAAGACATCCACATTAGAGTGTCTCAAAAACCTTTTTTTTTGAAAATTAAAATGTGGAAAACTTCAATCGTTATCATTATGTATTAGTAGCTTATAGTAAAAATTTCAGCCTCCCAAATCAACTCTAAGGTAAAGAAGGTGGTTTTAGACAATTTCTATATAATAAAGTTTTTCTTAAATATTATATTTTAAAGTTCCGAATATATATAGTTTTAAATTTAAAATACTCACAAAATACTGGACTCTTCAGAAAAAATAAACCATGGAAAAACAAAATGTAATTTGTAGCCGTGTTTATGTTCTTAAGAGTAGCAACCTCTACTATTTTTGAATCATTCAGATGATAGCTCTGTGTCATCTGCAGGACAAGAAGGTAAAGACCGTCACTCATAAACCTGGCCTTATGGTGAGCTCTCGGCTGCTTAAAGAAGAAATTAAGTATATCTGCACCCAGGTAGTAAGCTAGTCGCTGACAAAGATAATTAGAGTCTCCTTTTTGTTTCTCTGAAGTGCTGTGGTGCAAAGTTCTTTAGTTTCAACTGCAAGTTGGTGCAAAAGAGTACCTCGTCTAAATGCATCCTGAGATCATTCAAATTTGACAATTCTTTCCAATTTATTGACTTTTCTATATGTTTGCAGCCATAGCTTCTGAGGTAAAACATAGAGGTGTTTGCTAGGACTTTTTGTTGTACCAAAAACAACTTCCATGACATGTGACACATGTCTCTCATATATGTGATGTCTGCATATTAGCCAGAAAACAGGCCTCCCCAAAGCATGAGCAATAATATTCCTTATAGCTCCATTATTCTTTCCTGTGTTGCTAGCTGTGGTGCTAGCACACACTCCAATCATTTGACCTAATAGCTAATAGTATTCGAGGATACTTTGAATGGCTACATTCAAAGTATCCTCGAAAGCCTAACAAATTAAACTGTCTACGCTTTCTTACAACCTGTCTCAAATCTTCAGCTGGCTCTAGTATAGTATTGTGTCATTTTTTTCCTGAAGCCATTGTTTGAAATTATAGCTAAGAGTACAGTTTATAAGTTTTTATATGTCTATTAGTTTATGCTATAAAATATAGCTTACAGTACAGTAGTTTGTTTTGTAACAGCAAATAATACTATTAAAAATTCCGCATTTTTTTTTACCAAGCAAAATAAAATGCGTATCATATATAGCATACACGTATTGTTTTTTATTATAATTATTTACACTTAGCAAATTATTCGAAAAAAAAGTCTCTTTTTTTCAAATAATTTGCTAAGTTTTTTATTTAACGTCGTTTTAAAACTTGTAATTATAATATTTTTTATTTTCAATGATTTTTGTAATGTATTATAAATAAAAATATGTAAATAATCAAAAAATAATTATATATATAATTTTAATAAAACATTTACATAAATAAAATAATGTGTATGCTAAATTCTCCTAACATAAAAAAAGTTATTGCAAAATAACAAATTTGCTATATAATATTCTATTATATGAAAATTGACTAAAACTATCTTCTTTACCTTAGAGTTCATTTGGAAATCTAAAATTTTTACTATAAGCTACTAATACATAATGATAACGATTGAATTTTTCGAAATTTTGATTTTCGAAAAAAAAATATTTTGAGACACCCTAATCCACATTCTTTATAAGCTTCCTGCACTTTTTTTTTAATTTCTAACCAGTTGCCCACCACAAAAAGGCTGCTGATGAAAGTGAAGTAAAGTTTATTTAAAACTCAGACAGTTGCCCACCACAAAAAGGCTGCTGATGAACGTGAAGTTTAAAATAATATGTTCAAGTCGTACATAAAGAATGTAAAAAATGAACTATAACTTCAAACAAAAGATGGAGTTCTCTTAGTGAAAACACATTAAGTAGAAAAGATTTATCAGAAATATTGATGATAGGTACAAGGAATATATAAACTCACTTTCTAATGTTTGCACCTCCTAAAATGAATACCTGAAAATCTCGTCTAATTGATCTAAAAATTCTAACGATTTAATGCTACACCATTACCATGGGTAAACACGTGTGTTTGTAAACTAATAGTTATATTAGCTTCATATCACAGAAAAGAAAAAAGGTAAGGTCATTAGGTTCAATATATTTATGCAAAATTTATATTTTATGCAAAATTTGTTGCTGTTGTCGTTATTGGTATTGCTGTTGTTGTTGTTGTTGTTGTTGTCGCTGTTGTTAGATTGCTCCTAGCTTTATTTACTGCTTATCATTAAAGTTAAATTTACAATGTTTCTTAGATTGCTTTTTTGCTGTCAGCATCAACTTCTCGTGTATACAATGTTTAATGAGACACTCCCCTTTAAATTTTGACAAATCTACATTTTTTTGTTTTCTGTATTAACGTGTTGAATGCAAAACATTTATTTTAAAGCTGGAACAAGCAAAAGAAATAGTTCCAACTTTTTATTAAATTTCCTTTTTAATAGACGATTTATTAAAATATTGAAGATTGGGTGCATCTAAGTTAAGATTGGGTGCATCTAAGTTAACTTCGGAGATGTTATAAATCTTATACAATATCTGATATTTGAAAGAGCAATCAGCAAATTATTTTATTTTTCATAAAATTATGTCAAAATTTTTTTAAAAATGCAGCAAATTTTTTTTTTTTTAATATTATATATTTTTAAAAGTTTTTAAAAATGAATATAAGTCAAAGTTTTATTAGTAGATTTTTACCTATATTTCATAGAAACAGGTTTATATTAGTCATAACAATCTTTTCTTTTTCCCTTTTTTTTGTTTTGTTTTGCTTATACTATAATTTTTTTCTCTCTTTTCCATTGGATTGTAACTAAAAGTGACAGATCAAAAATATGACAAAGAAAATGACAGATCCAAAATTTTTTGATGTGATAAAATATTTATTGTACTATTCCCAACTAGTTTTATATTCATTGATAAATTTAAAGTTTCACTTTAAACGTTCAAAAAATATGACCATATAAAATTTGCCAACTCCTCAAATTTAGGGGGTTACAAGTTCTCAAACATCAAAAAATTCTGGATAACCAGTAAATCTCAGATAAATTAGTTTTAAAAAGTATTTTTTAATTTTAATAAAAACAATAATGTAAAAAAAAAAATTGTATATGAGTTAAAAAAATGTTTGAAACATAACTTAATAATTAAACTTAACTTTATCAAAAAACCAAAAATTTAAAGGTTATCAATAATAATTAGGTAAAAATAAAACCACAATCTAAAACACCATTTTGGTTAGCAAGCCTCACCGAACACTACATCGTATTTCGTGAAAAGGTGAAAAAGTAAACGTTTTATCTTTAAATAGCTTCTTATTAAAAAAAAATATCCATTTTGATTTCTCTTGTTGAGAATTTATATTGTAATTACAAAGAAATTTACAAGCATAATAAAATTCATTTAAAATATGTAGATAAGTTATTTACAAAAAGCGTGAACAAAAAATGCTCGAAGTACAAAAAAAATCTAGGGATATCTTTTACTATGTGTTTTTTGTTTCTGTTCATTTTTTTTATAGTTATTAGAAACGTTTTCATTAGGAGGTTTATTTAAATATTCATAATTTACTGCTGATCTTCGGCCCAAGATTTGTCGAGCAATAAATACAACCGACGCTGTGCCCAAGACGGCTGCAGCAATGCCACAACATATTGCAACGGCTAAAGCAGATACAGATTCGGTTTCGTGTACACTCGGCGATTCGTGAATCTAATAATTTTAAAAACTTCATTACAAAGTTATTTCAATATTTATTAAATTAGTTAATAATACTATTGTTATTATTTGTATATATATATATATATATATATATATATATATATATATATATATATATATATATATACTATATATATATATATATATATATATATATATATATATATATATATATATATATATATATATATATATATATTTGTATATAATACTGTTTATTATTTTTTAATTTTAGTTCATATTTAGGTAACTATTGCTACTGTTATATATTTCTATATTAGTATTACTATGTAATAATATGAAATTAAAATTAGGTAGGGGAAGACGGGGCAAGATATTAAATACCTGTAGTTTTCTCAGCCGTAAAAAAATAATATTTTTTCAGTATGTTTGCTTTATCATTATTACCTGCATAAGCTTTAAATTTTCAAGTCGAAAAATTTATTATGAAAGTGAAAATGTAAAAATCATAAATTTATCAGCACGGGTTAATGCTTAAAAAAAACATAAAGACTTTTTTAATGTAAAGAATGGGTTTTACTAATTTCATTATTTTCCTGATGTTTATAAGGGGTCGTCCACAAATTACATCACGCAATTATCTATAATCAAAGTTCGATTGTACCTGCAGAAACATTTTTATTGACTAAATTAATAAATAACGCACACTTTGAATGTTTGCATAAAAACATATTAATCTATTCATAATCTATAAACATATTAATCATATATATCTATTTACAGAAATAACATATAAAGCATTTTTTTAATTTTTTGTTATGCAAACAATATCAAATAAATAAAATTAATAGAATAAGATTTTTTTAATTTAATAATTTATTAGTTATTGTAAAAATGAAAGACAAAATCTTTATATGTTAATCAATATAAGCTCATGAAATTTAATGCTAATCTTTATGCCAGATTTTACTATAGTTTGCTTCTAGACCATTGCTAAATATTAGAGGTTTATCTTTAAATAAAGATAGATTTTTAAGAAAAGATGGATCATTCTTCTATCAAAAAACGTATCTCCATTATTCAGATAAAGACAAATAATTAAATTTTTACCTCATAATTCTTGAACGAATAATTAATTTAAGAATCTCCAAAGATTTATCTAATCACATAAAAATTGAAAATTAACTTTTCATACACAGCTGCATTAATTTTAAGATGCCCTCTATCTTTACAGAATAGTTTACTCAGTAGATAAAGGCTTGTACCCAATCTACGAGGTTGTTATTTTTATGAACTAAAAAAATCAATTTCAAAAACAAACTTAAATTATTTTTCATCAATTTTTCTAGTTAGAAACAATAGTTATTGATATATATTGATATATACATAGACGTATATACTCTATCATGTTTTTTGCTTAGTTTTGTTTTCTTCATTTTTTCGTTTTCTTTTATTAAATTTTTTTTTTATTATGCTTATTTTCTTGTCGTTGTCCTTTGATTTTGTATTGCATACAAGATCACTCTCTTAGTTTTGGCTAGACTATAAGAAAGTGAACCCTCCAGTTGGTTTTATATTATTCAACGCTTATGTATGATATTTACTGGTAAATATATGTTACTATAGCTGTAGCTGTTGTTGTTGTTGTTGTTGTTGCTGTGTTAATGGATGCTTTAATAAAAAAATTGTTTGTAAATATTTGTGATGAATGTCAATAATTGTATTAGATGTTATATTTAATAATATTATTTAGATTTTATTTAAAAAAAAGAAAATAGTAATAAAGAAAAACTAAAATAATTATCAGTTTGTGCTAACAAATGTAAATGTATAACAAATAAACTAGTGGGCAAGCAATTATTTTAAGTAAACAACGCACGTATCTTCTTGCCAAACGTACGATAAAACTCTGTTTGCAATGATTGAAACAAGAAACTAGTTTAAATTTAAAAAATAATATAACTAAGAAATACTAAAAATTTTAATGTAGTTAAAGAATTTAAATACTTTAATATCTAGTTCCGGCTCCGTATCCGAATCAGTAAAAAGTACTTCTTCTCCTGATGATGCCACAACAAGTTTATCTAAAGAAAAAAAAATCGTTTAAAAATTCAATTTACAGAATATATTTTTAAGAATAAGAAAGATATGTTTACCAGAAGTAGTTTCATTGCACAGAAATCCTGACCACCCTACTTCACAAATGCAAGTATTTTTCTGTTTGTTAATACAAGTTCCATGAACGCATTCTTTTGCACAAACCACTGGTATTTAAAAATTTGTATTATAATGTTGTTACAGGTCACGTTAAAAAATATTTTAAATAAAAGTTATTACATTTTTTGTCACATTTGTATCCCTCCCAACCATCTTCACATAAACAAGTATCATTTGATAGGCAAGATCCATAAATTCCACATTCAGGGTCGCAACTTCCTAAATAAAAATTTATAGCTAAATAAGAGTAATCTTTGCCATAGCTCATAGCCCCTACTGCAAAGAGTTTGACTGATACTTAAACAAAAAAATCAAATTTTTAAATCAATTTTTAAAGTTAGCTTTATTTGATTATAAATTTACCAATAACTTCTATCTCATTACATCTAAGTCCTTTATATCCAACGTCGCATGTACAGGTGTTGTTATTTGTACATATACCGTTCACACATGAAGGTTCACAATGTGCTAAAAATAATATGCCAAAGTTTTTTTAACGATAAAAATTATAAAATAACAGAAAACTTAAAATTTTTTAAAAATACCTTTATTAATTTGTCTTTTGCGGTTTCTCTTATTCATATATACAATAGCTCTTGGCTCTGTTGCATAAATAACTGGTTCACTTACACAAAGCTCCTTGGTGAAACAGTCAACTGCAAAGCATTTATGGTCTCTTACTTGCGCTACTTCGCAGTTCTCATGTTGACAGCACTTCTGGGCACAATCATAAATATCCACAAACTTGCCAAGATCTATTATTTCTCCAGCTTGTTTACCTCCAGATATTGTTTGGTTATAAGCCACTCTACTAAATACGCATTGATCGCCATTTGGAACTATGTGTATATAAATGTGCATATATATATAATATGTATATATATATATATATATATATATATATATATATATATATATATATATATATATATATATATATATATATATATGTATATATATATATATATATATATATATATATATATATATATATATATATATATATAAATCTTCTACTTTTAAACAGAGGATATAGATAACTGATATTTACTCTACACAAGACTGCTGAAAACGTATTACCGTCATGAGTGATAAAGTTGCTGTCAGAAGTTAAACAAACTGTAAAAGGTTATAACAGTGATTAATCCATTAAATATAAATTTTTTAATAAAAAGTTTGACAGAAACCTGGATTTATTAATTGGTTCTTTTGATTTTGTTATAAATATAAGTTAGAGAGCATAGAATTCTTATACTAATACAGTACGAGTATGAATTGATGGAGATTTACTGAAAAATTTGTGTTAAAATCTTTAATCAAGATGAAATTAAAGTTATTTGATGAAATTTAAGTTATTAATAAAAAAAAACTAGAAGTAAACGCAGTTTGGTATGCAACGTATACAGTTTATTTCTTATACTAAAGATGTTCCAGAAACATATCAAAATACGAAAGAAACTTAAGATATTCTGCAGCTAGAAAAACCGGGCTTATATTTATTTTTTTGATATTTATTTCATAATAGAGTATTTAGAAACCTTCATTTTTCTGAGTTTCAACCAGCCGTAAAAAAAAAAGAAACAACTTAGCTGCATAAAAAAGTTTACTATCTTGGTTAAAATCCACGAGTTAGAATAATAAACAAAATTTTTCCATTATCATTACATATATTAATGGGTTTTAGTAATGTCGTTAACGACCTAGTTTTTACTCTCTGGCAAAACGTTAAATAGTGGTTGTTTAAAAAATACATTATTAGACATGGCCATTACAGAGGCTAGTTTGACGGAATGAGCTGTAACAAAATATTGTATACTTTTAGAGATCTTGAGGAGGCATTTCTAAATAATTGTTGAATGTTAATACATATTAATACATATTTCAAAGACTTAAAGTTTGTTGTAGATGACTATTTTGATGATTACCTAAGTGCTAATGTTGTTCCATTGCTAGATGAAAGACATATAATTATCTGATAAAGTTTACAAAGTATCATAATTACACCTTAATTATAAGATGGAAGGTCCGCATAATGTTAGCCCGCATTGTTTTTTTTTTTTAAATTTCTTCACAAAAAAAAAAAAAAAAAAAAAAAAAAAGAATGCGAGCTAACAAGATGCGGACCTTCCATGTTATAAATAAGGTGTATTTACAATACTTTGTAAACTCTATCAGATAATTATAACAGTTTCAGACTACGTATTAAGACAAAATAAACTTCATCTTAAAACAATAATAATTAACTTAATAAATGTTATGCAGTAATTTAGTTAAATAAAGATCTGTTTATATAGAATCTATCATAAAACTTTTCTTCTGCCCGAAAATCGTAGCATTCGTGGTGCGAAAATCGTACTATTCGTGGTGCGTTTTTAATGATAACTTAAAAGCATTTGCTGACATCAGTATTTGAAAAAAAAAAAAAACTTTAAATACATTTCACCAGGAAAAGCTCAAAGATATTCTAAAAATATGTTTCTCCCAGCCAGAAATTCCAATTAAAAGATCTGGTTTTAAATTTCAAATTAAGTATCTTAATGATGGCAAATTTTTTTTGTTAAATTAAGTACAATTTGTGGGTCGATTTGTGTTCGAGCATATATGGTTATTTTTTTATGATTTAAAAAAATAATATTTAAAAGAATATTATTTTTACACGCCTGTTATCTTTTTTGAAATGCTGTAGCTGAGACAGCAAGCCAAACATTTACGCCGCGTATGACCATTTTTAATATCATTTTAAACCTTAAAGGTATAATTTTCTAAATGGATAAAAAATTATACCTACAGGATAAATGACATACCCCAAAGGTAGAAATTTTACCTACAGGATATGTGACATACCCTAAAGATAAAAATTATACCCACAGGATATGACATTTTCTAATTTTCAAATTTAGAAATTTGAAAATTAGAAACCTTTTTTTTAGTGTGAAGAACAGCAAATAATATATGATAGAGGTTTAGAGTGATGTTTTAAAATCTGAAAAAATAAAAATAAAAATAAACCAAATAATATGGACAAATGCGGCATTAAAGAATCTTCAAATTCATACTGTTCAAAGTATAAAGAACTACAAGAGGAGCTCATCATGTCAAAAATTGCTTAAATTAAGAAAACTAGCCAATGAAAAAAATGAAGAAAATAGTTTTTTCAAATTCAATAGAAAGTTAGATAAATTTTCTGAAAGTTTTTCTAATAATTTTCTGTTGCAGCAGTTCCCTTAAGACTTTAAACATGTGAATTGGATGGTTAAACATACGACTAGAGTGTTTAAAAATATGACTGGGGTGTTTAAACATATGACTAGGATGTTTAATCATATGACGGGGTTATGTTTAAACATATGACTAGAATGTGTATATACAGTAACATTTTATTATTTATGGAATGTCTCCTTCATTCATCATAAAAATCGGATATTAGATAATAGATATTAGATAATAGATATTAGCTATTAGATATTAGATAATAAATATTAGACAATAGATATTAGATAATAAATATTAGACAATAGATATTAGATAATAAATATTAGACAATAGATATTAGATAATAAATATTAGATAATAGATATTAGATAATAAATATTAGATAATAGCAAGCAAAAGAAAAAACGTATAAAGATTTAACTAAAGCTCAAAAAAATAAAAAAAAGAAAGATTTTTTGAAAAATTAAGTTTAAACAAGAAAAATGGCTAATTTATCCAACAATGCGAGCTTTATGAACAATACCGCACGGCAAACTTTTTTGAACAGTATCACACAACGAACAAAATTGGTATCAGAAAAATAAGATATAGATGCAAACCTTTTCACTATTTAAAAATAATTATATCATTGTCATATCAATTTCTAACTGATCCTATAAAACTTGAAAATAATTTTTTAAAAACGGCTTTAATCACAAATTAGAAATATTTATGGTATAAATTCCTATTAGTGTTCAGACTCGGGATTTAAATTTCTTACTTGTGTTCTTACTCAAACTATAAATTATTGTGTTTATATACTTTTAGCTCTTAAAGGTCAATTCTTTGGTAAACTAATTCATAACTTAAATTTTACCGGTTGGAACTTATTCTAAAAATACTAAGGTAATTCTCCACAAATGTCAAATTAACTAATACTTCTGTCAAATTTAAAAAAAATTTTTTTTTTTTACTTCCGGTATAATTATTTTTTAAAAAATCTTCGAAGTCTGTATCAAAATTAGGATTTTCGTACAAACGTATACGTTTGTATACGTTTGTATACGTTTGTATACGTTTGTATACGTTTGTATACGTGTGTGTGTGTGTGTGTGTGTGTGTGTGTGTGTGTGTGTGTGTGTGTGTGAAGTTGTTAAGGTGTCTTATAAGACACCTTAACAACTTCACACACACACACACACACACACACACACACACACACACACACACAAACACACACACACACACACACAAACACACACACACATAAAGTTTCCCTAAAATTTGTTGTTTTGTGCATATATGAAGAAGACTCAAAATTTTTTTTTGGTGAACACAAATTTTATAATAGAATTTTAAGAATCAGTCATACCGATATTCGTAACAATTATTGTGTTGTTTTCCAATACGAAGTTAAAAGATTCAAAAACTCTGGGTTCTGGTTGAGTAATAGAGCATTTATTTAAAATTTTGTAAACATGTTTAGCGTTCTTGCAGATAAAATAAGCCCCACAAATTTATATGTTCATAGTTATTTTATATATGTATATATATACAGTAAATAACGAACAATGATAAAAATTGTACGAAAAGAAGCATCTAGAATCTTCCAGAACAGGTTCACACAGGTTTATTTTACTATATAAGAGACATGTAAACCGACATGTAATTCAGTCAGTATATGGAAGTCAATCAGTCAGTATTATCAAGACAGTTTATCGAAGTTAGTTTTATCAAAGTGTTTTATCGAAGAAAATCAATACAAGAAGTGAAATACAACAAGTGCTTCATTACATTAATACAGTCCACATCCAAACAAGATGTTGTGTTCCACAGAGCATTATTGTATCATCACAAGGTAAATGTAACATGGTAAGCCTTGAGAAGCGTGATTATTTATTTTTATTATTTTTATGACTTCAAGTGCAAAAATGGCTCCCAACGTCTTAGATTAGAACTAAGAAAGAAAATTATTGGCAATTACATAGGTGGAATGTCACAAAAAAGTATAAATGTTATAAATATCGCGTGAAAAAATGGACCGTATCAAGACTATGTTCCAAGTATCGTTCTATGGGGAAGTTGGCAGCAGATAACAAAGGTGGAAGGATCCCTGAATATCATCAGTCAAGATACAAAAGCAATTAGAGCTGCCTGTGTCGGACCGAACAATCAGACGACGTGCTGTTAAAGCCGGATTGTTTTCTCGACGCCCTGCAAAGAAACCGCTGATTTCACTAAAGAACCAGAAGAAAAGACTCCTGTTTGCTACATCTTATGTTGACTAGAATGTGCAGAAATGGCGAAGTGTCCTTTTCAGTGATGAATCGAAGTTCAACATTATTGGGAGCGATGGCATTTGCCGTGTACGTCGACTTGCCGGAAAACGCCTCGATTTACGTTACTGCCATAAGACCGTGAAGCATGGTGGAGGCAATGTAATGATCTGGGGGTGTTTTACTGTTAACGGTCTTGGTACCAATACATTGAAACAATGGAATAATGGACCGTTCCATGTATAAAAATATCCTGAAAGATATTATGTTACCTCATGCTGAATGGAATATGCCAATAAAATGGGTTTTTCAGCAAGACAACGATCCGAAACACACTGCAAAAGTAGTCAAGCAATGGTCTCAAGACAACCATCTATCGGTGATGGATTGGCCGCCTCAATCTCCGGATCTCAACCCTATCGAAAACCTGTGGGAGATCGTCAACGCAGAATTAATCGTGAAGGTGTTCGTAATAAGGATCAACTGTTTGAACAAAGCAGCAATTCCACAAAGTTTCATTGATCACCTGATCGAATCTATGCCTCGAAGATGCAAGGCTGTAATCAACAACAAAGGATTCGCCTCGAGATATTGATAGCGAAATACAGCTTGGTCAACATTTTGTGGAATTACACTTGTTTTGTCCAGAATGAAATCAACTTTTTTTTTATTTT